TCCCCGCTGACCCGGGTCTCCGGATGGGGCGACAGCGGCGCGGAGGGACCCGGCGCACAGGCCGGCAGCAGTGGCGTTCGCGAATGGAGGTCTGACTGGTCAGAGTAGGGAAAGTTTAACCAGAACCCCTTAAAAGGCGATTGTTCCTTCTCTGCAAGGCTCCTGTAGCTTGTAAGGCTTGTACCGAGGCGCAACCCTGGTTGCTGATGCCAGAGAATGGAGGTTGGAGGAAGGGAGTCTGCTGCTTTTCTTGGATACAGATTTGCATTTCTTCCAACATTAAACAGATGTATGCATTCCCTCGAGCTTCTCCATACATCATGACCTGCCCTTAGGAAAATAAAAACCATATGAGGTGTGGTGTTCTCCAGTGTTCTGAATCTCAATAGGTACTCAGCTGTTGGGGTGACTGGTATGCGGCTCTCCCCATTATGAGCAGAATGCTGAAGATGTGCAGACGACCGCCCCTTGTATTTTACCTTTTCTGAGGGATTTTTTTTCCCCCTGCATCAAAGTCACCTGCAGTTCTTATTAGAAGGAAGGACTTTTTCTGGGCAGTTTTGGTTCCATAAAAGGGGCGCTATATGAAAAGACATTAGACGTTACTTTTAAGATTATATCTGATGACCCTTGGACAGTTGTTTCTGCTTTCTTGGACCTTTTAATCGCATTTTAAAAATTCAGTGGCCACTTTCTTCTGCTATTTACTGGATTTCGTGCTCGAATGCAAATCAGTATTTCTTCTCCCTGAAAAGATGTGTTCTGTTTTGGCGCCCCCCCCCATTTAATTGTTTTCAGGAAGAGGAAACCAGCATAAGAAATGAAGGTTGTAGCACTGTAAGTGATACTGATTTATTCAGCTGTTCACGCCTCACAGTGAGACTGAAGTGCTATTCAGGTACAATTTTAGTCCAAAATGTTGGTGCTTTAAGATTACAAATAAGTGTCTTTCCGGATGGTGGTTTTCTGGTATGTTCTGTGAAGGGCATGTGTCTTTCCAGTATAACCTAAGGTACTTTGATTTAAAAGCACTGTAGTCTGAGATTAATAAAATATCCCCCCGTCTTGCACTTTCAGATGCCGGATCTCTCTTGAAACAATAAGAAACCCATCATCAAAAAAATTAAATGATGTGTTTGTATCTTGGGTGTTTTTTCAAGTAATTTAGATATGTAATTTTGCATCTCTTCCCTAGTCTATAATTTTGTCCCCATTCGGTATATTGTGGTGAATATTTGTGATGAGCATGACAAAATTCAGGGTTGTGTTAGAAAAGACATTTCCCTCTTCCCCACAGAGTTAACTTTTTTAAATAAATTCTCCTGAATCCTTCAGTTCAGCAAACATTTGCCTGGTGCCTGTTTTTCATGCCCCACACACTAAGAGTTGCAGAGATTACGTTCCCTCTCGTTTACTAGAAAGTGAGCCTGTGGCCCGCATGTTCTTACTATTAACAGATGTTTATCTTCCAGGTTGGACCAGGCCGGACACCGCCTCGGATAGCTGCTCTTGAGCACCGCTCTTGACACAGTTCTGCGGAGTTGGATGACAGTGAGTAGATTTTCCCATCATGGCCGCAGTGCCGTCTGGATCGGCTGGGGATTCCTGTTGCAGGGAGTGTCTCCCCCGCAGACACGGAGCCCGTGCCGGCCCTCTTTCCCTCTGCCTGTGGCTGCCGGGAGGGCTGCATCTCCTGCATCCTCAGGCCGGCTCTGCTGCCAGAGGCTGGGATCTGGGCCGGAAGGCGTAGGGCGGTAGCTGAGGAGAAGCCTGAGGCTGGCATGAGTCACTGTTCAGGGGACAGGGACAATGGACAGTGGACAGCCGAGTGGCTTCTTGGGATATCCAGGCTTCTGCTGGATCTGTGACCTCAGGCATGTTACAGTTTCTTTGAGTCACAGTTGCTTCAAGCCATTTGTCAGTCCTGAAGTAAAAGGTGCATCCTAGTAGTAAAATTTTTATTAGCCCTGAAGACAGAGTTGGAAACAAGTTTAGTTGGGTTAAGTGGGGAATCTGCTGTGAAAATGAAGCTTGCATTTGATTAGGAACAGACCGGTGACCTGTAGAAGCAGTCTCGTCAAGAGTGTGTTCTCCTTAAAACAGTATATGAAAAGCAGGGTATGGTGGTGCACGCCTATAATCCCAGCACTCCAGGAGGCTGAGGCAGGAGGATTGATGGGAGTTGGAGGCCAGCCTGGGCTACATAGTGAGACCCTTCCTATAAAGCAAAACAGTATGTTAAGGTAGGTGGGGGGTGTAATCCACTGGAAGGACAAAAGGAGGGGCAAATCGGGGAGGTATTTTTAAAGAAACAAGGATGAGGTGGCCTGTAGCAGATGCCAGGACCAAGATGACCCTGGTGCGTTTAGCCTAGAGAGTGGAGGTGGCACAGGACACGTAGTTGAAAAGATGTCTGTTGTCCCTGCAGAGCTGGGGAGGAAATTCACTCCCTGTCACCCAGAGCTTGCTGTGAAGGGAGAGCAGATGCGCTGTATACTCTGAGTTGCTTCTGTGCCAGGCAAAGCCGTGGCTGTCATGTGGGGTTTATGAGTCCAGAGTGATGTTGAGTGAGTTTGTTAAGAGAGCAGGGGAAGGGCGAGCAGTGGCCTTGGAGGGAGGCTAGCAGAGCTGGGGAGGACAGCATACAGCCTGGGATGCTGCTGGAAGCATAGAGGTAGTGCGGGCTCCATGGTGACCAGCATGACCAATGGCAGTGAGGTAGGAGTTAGGCAGGACTGGAGCTGAAACGGGAATTAAGAAGTGCATAACAGCCAGGTGTAGTGGTGCACACCTGTGATCCTAGTTCTCAGGAAGCTGAGGCAGGAGGATCCCTGCCAGTATGAGGTCAGTGTGAGCTATGTAGTAGCAAGGCCCTGTCTCAAAAAGGGGGTACATGTAAGGTTTTGGTTTTTTTTAAATGTGAGGGCCTTTTTTTTTTTTTTTTTTGGTGCTGGGGGTCAAACTCAGGTCCTTGCACTTTCGAGGCAGGTGGCGGAACCACTGAGCTAAATCCCCAGCCCTTGAAGGTATTTTTACAGGGTGAGAAGGAGGCAGGGCAGAGTGAAGGTTTTCTCTGTGTGCACACTGCATGTGTAAGGAGGGTGACAGCAGGCTAGGAAGAGTAGGGGAGGTGGAGATAACCAGATGACGGTGGGTGCAGGGCTCAGTTGCATGGTGGGGTGGATCTTTGTGCTGGGAGAGAATGAGAACTGCTTGAGGGGACGATAAGGACCGGGGTGATGTCTGCCACATCGTTAGTGTGCCAGGCGTCTTGCTCAGTGCTTTGGAAGTAGTAACTTCCCCGAGCAGTGACCAAGATAAAGGTAACTTGTCAGCTCCAAGCCCAGGCCAGCGATCCTAAGAGCAGTGCGAGTGCACAGGCCGGCCCGGAGCCTGGAGCCGCTGCCCAGGTCCTTGGCTTCTCACAGCTGGAAGCCTGGGTGGTTGAGCAGCAGGCTTGGCATAGTGATTGGCAGGATCAAGGGTTGCTTAGGATTCAGGGCTCTAGACCGCAGTCTCACCTCCTTTGTCACCCAGGGCTCCCAGCCACCGTGCCTCAGTCTCTCCCCTGCTGCCCAGGTGACAAACATTTCCTGAGACATTAGTGCTCCGGAAGTGTGAGGACACCTGTGTGTGCACGATGAGGTACTAGCATAGTTGAAATACTGCTCCCTGTAAAAACCGAGTGTATTAGCTAATGTTTGCATATTTTACAGAACAACACAATCAATTCCACTAAACACAGTGCAGTCGTTCAGTTAGCTTGGCTCTGCCCCTCCCAGGATGTGCACGCCCGTTACCTTAGCACAAGTGGCCGGGGTCATGCTGTCCCTGTGCTGCGGTGACCTCCAGACCTCCAGCCTGCTGCCTGAGCCCAGGTCCCGCTGTGGCACTGGAGTCCTGTTCCTCTCCCTGTGTGCTGTACCCGCCACTCCCCGGCTCCCTGGGGCAGTGTCATTCCAACCAGTGATTCTCCTTCGCAGAGACATGCCTGCATCTCTGCATTTGTTTCATAGCAAGTATTTTTGCATACTTTGTTATTTAGAACTTGTATGCACCTTTGATATTTATTTCTAACGAAATCTAATAAGTTCTGGTTATTTTCTTTTACTAATTTATACTTATTTGTGAAAACCTATCGTTTTGTGCTGCAGTGTATAAAAACTCTGATTGTGAGTACATTAGACATAACTTTTATACTTCTCCACGACTCAGTGATGTCCATTACCTATACAAAATGGACACGTGCCGGACGTGGTGGCACACGCCTGTAATCCCAGCACTCGGGAGGCTGAGGCAGGAGAATCGCTGTGAGTTTGAGACCAGCCTGAGCTACATAGTGAGACCCTGTCTCAAAAAAACAAAAACAAAATGGACACGTTTGGGACCCACAACTGAACAGGAAGGAAGTGCCTAAGGATCTGCAAGAGAAAACATCGAAAAGGGAGAGACGTTAGCATATCAGAGAGGAGAAGTCTGTGTTAGGAAAGGGAATGACAAAAAAGATGTCTCCCTCTCGTCGAACTGTTCATAATATAGAAATGACAGAACTCAAAAGAAGACACAGAGCTAAAAAAATTCCCATCGCAGTCAGTGGTTATAATTCTGTCGGTGGTATAGACAGCGTTGGCCAGCACCTGAGAGGCTAGCCTGTAATCAGAAAGCAAGGAAGGATTGTAAAGTATTTAAGCAGCTTCTGGGCCTAAGAGTATTTTATTCGTTTATTTATTCAAAGTCACAATTTAGAGTTATCTAGTAGACCAGATACCTTGAAAATACAGGACAGCGAAACGCCAGCCAGGGTGTCACCGTCCTCACCATTGCGTTGAGCATGTAGACACCGTACTGAAATTCCACCGCCCGCACGGTCCACACAGGACTGAGCCTAGCCAGGCCAGACAGGCACCACGTGCCCACAGAAGAAAAGGAAACGTGTGTTGTTCAGAGAAAAGCAATGATGCAAAAAGAGTTCAGAGACTAGATACTACTGTCCAGATTGTAACGTTGCATGTGTATTGGATGTTTTAAGATATACCATATGCAAAAAATTATCAAATAAAATTGATAATTAGTTTTTATATTTTTGGTTATATTACCTAATGAAATTAATGCAAAAGTGCTGTTCTTGGGTCAATCTGCATGTAAATACTTGGATTGGTAAGTGGTTAAAAAGAGCCAGGTACCATGGTGCTTGCCTGCAATCCCAGCCCTCGCACTTGGTAGGCTGAGGCAGGAGGATTGCAGTGAGTTTGAGGCCAGCCTGAAAAGTAGTTGAGACCCTGTCTCAAAAAAAAAAAAAAAAGAAAGAAACAAGAAATGTGATTTGTTCTCAAGCTTCATCCAGTTCCGGCTGAGCTTGTCCTAGTCCCCCAGCTTAGCACTGTTTCTTCTTTCTCTCCGTCTAGAACATTGCTTTCCACTTTTTTTTTGCCTGGCTGGTTTGCTGGTTTGTATTCCCCTTGTAGTCTCGGTTTCAGGGCTCCTTCCTGGCCTAGCCTTCCTTGACCGCCTCAGACAGTGAGGCCCCTAGCTAGGGAAAAGCTCACGCAACAGGTAGCAGAACACCTGTTTCTCCTTTGCACTTGGCCCTAGCAATTAGTTAAGTGTCTCTAATTATTTAGTAGCTGCGCGTAACATTTGCTGCTTTGCAGCCCTTTTCTGTAGCTGTCTCCTAACGGGACAGCAGCCCTGTGAGGCTATCCTGTTCTCATCAGCCAGGAGACTCGAGCTGAGTCACTGGATCTGGAGCCCTGTCTCCCAGTCCTGCCCCACTGAGCAGGGGACAAGGACAGAGACCTTGTCCATGGCATTGACTACACAGGGCTGTGCCTAGCAGGGCCAGACAGGCACCAAGTGCCCACTCAGTAGGCCTTCTGAGTGGCCTGCCCTTGTTTCATAGTAATTTTAAGGAGGCTGTAGACCAGGAAAAAACCGTTGGAATGTATGTAAACATTCCTTACACATAGGAGAGCGGCTGGCGTGTCCTAAGGCTGATTTGTGGAAGAGAGGGGTCTAATGCTGTGGGGCTTCAAAAAAGTGGACATTGGTTTTGAGATTGCAGAATGGGCTGAGTTGGCAAGGTTCCAGCAGGACAGGAGCACTGGGCTTAGAGACCAGGGCGGATTTTAATGGTAGAGAGGAAGGAGGAAAACAGAAGGTGTGAAATGATAGAAAAGCTCGAACTTGTGGAACTGAAAAGATGCCATTAAGGAGATGTACGACTTCTCTTGGGAGACGCGGGTGTGAGGTCGGTGTGTGGCGTGGCGGGTACCATACACCGCACGCTTGAGCAGCTTTCTAGTCCGCAGGGTGTGCTTCTGTTTCGGGAGGTGGACCCTGCTAGTCCAAATTATAATCTTTTTTTTTTTTTTTTTTTTAG